AATTGCCAACATGGGAGGGCTCGTCTAGGTGTGGGGAAGTGGCCAACAGGTGTCCTCGGCCATGGGTTTCGCCGGACGACGTTATTCCGCCAGAAAATGGTTTTGCATGCAACTGGCTTTTTTGGGTTGTTTTCCAATGGTTAATTATTATTTGTGACTAATTTGCACATTTTTAAAAGTTTGAACCCATAATTACAATTTATTCTTTATTTTCCTTTTCTTTTGTGTTTATTTTATTTTAATACAAGGGAAAAATGGTCAAAAAGAGACGAAAATGACGTTTTGTACAAGAAAAGGTAAAGGTATGGACGTTTTGCGCCAATTACCCATATAAGATATACCCTCTCACCTATTGAAAAAAAAAAGGGCTCATTTGAAATTGGCTAAAAAGGGCCATGACATCTATTTTCTCGATAAAAAATGATGAATATGCTCTCTATTTAAATAAAACAAAAGAGAAAGAATAAAAAACTAATTGCAATCCCAACTTTTAAAAAAAAAGTACAAACTAGTTACTTCATTCACCTTCCACCACCACCATTGCCGCCGTCACCACCACTCCCAAATTTCTCAACGAATACCATGAATGAATTAGCAACAGAAGTAGCAAATGATCTCTCTAGTAAAAAAATTTGCTACCAAACAAGCTAATTTCACAGCATTTCAGACATTGTACCCATTTTATAATTTCACTTTGGCCCATGCACCAACCTCCGCCTTCATTGCGTTCTATAACCAATGAAGGTAATTTACTGACTCTTAAACGGTAGCTTTATGATTAACTAATAAAGCAGCATATGCAACATTGAAAAAAAATGAAACCATACAAAAATTTAATTTTTTTGGTTCAAATTCAAAGGTGTAAAATCTGTACCATTTTCTGTGTTCTGGTTGCAGGAAATGGAAGAATGTCAAGACAAATTATTATTGTGATTGTTGTTTAGAATAAGGAGAGAAAACGAAGAAATGAAGACATAGAGGATTTGAGTTGTTGTGAAACAAACAAGATATTAGAATTGTTCTGATACCACTTATTGTATTAATTATGCCCAAAATCTCTGATACCAATTGTTGGGAATTCAAGGATCACGTATCGCTCGATACCACTTGATATAAAATTAACCACCGGATTGAGTTATTGAAATTATATGGTACAATAATGAAGTATTTGATTACAAACAAAAGAATAAAAGAAAACAAGAAAATATGACAGAAAAATTAGAAAATTTTACTGCACCAATAATAATGGAGAAATATATAATTGATCATAAAGTTCTACTAATCTCTTTTCTCACATTATTCCCACATTACAAAATTGTACAGAAAAATCTAATATTTATAGGGAACATGTAGGAAATGTCCAAACCATCCTATTAGAGTTGTTGATGAAATAGAATGTCAAAAAATCGAGTCTA